AATATGTATAATATTTTTAATTTGTTTAATAATTGGATTTGAAATAAAGATTTGCAAATCGGGTTAAGAAGAGAAATTTATATATAGTTGAGTATGTATCTGAGCAAGAGCTTGAATTTTTAATAAGAAATAGAAAGTTTATACTATAAGATAAGTTTTGATCTAGTTTTTGTTTTTAGGTTTTGCAGTTTAAGTTTATCAGGTTTTTTGATAAAGTTGTAAATGTTGGAGTTAAAAGTATTGTGTTTAAGATATTGAAATTAATAGAATAATTTTCTAGTATGTAGATATTAAAATAATTTTGCCAATACTTGTTTGAGAAGGAGTAGGAAAGATAAACTAATTATTTTTTTGTGATTCTATAGTTCATAAGATAATAAGATCTAATGTATTTAAAAATGTGTTAATAAAATCTAAATATATAAGAGTAGTATAAATCTGAGAGAATTGGGACAGAAAATGGTACCGTCGTCATTTGGGTGATGATTGGTTTACAAGTTCGTCATCATTCGGGTGATGATTGGTTTACAAGTTTGTTGTTATTCAAGTAACGATTGGTTTACAAGCTCGTCAGGATTCGAAATGTGTATAGCATTCTGCTTTTCGATCGTCACTTGAAGCCTTTCTTTTATACTATCAAAACACCTAACCATCGTTACTTGAATGACTTTCTCTATCTAATTTGATTACTAATTAGCTTTCTAACACTAAGAAGCATATATTTAAGGTGTATGTGATACAGTAGCAGAGCAAAGCAGAGCATAGTTATCTTATTTGATTTTTATTTGGATTTCTATCCTGGAGTCGCTACACTCTTCCAGAAGCGAAGCATAGTAGAGTATAGAAAGCTTATTTGTCAAAATTTATATAAAAAAAAATTAATAACAATAGATTTATGCTCATATCATCGCTCGAATGATGATAAATTTATGCTCGCGTCATCATTAATAGCAAAAATCATAAAAAAAGTTGGAACAAATTGGGTACCAAAAATATGGTTATATAGCAAAAATTGTAAAAAAGTTGTGACAAATTGGGTACCAAAAATATAGTTATATATAGCAAAGGGTACCAAAAATATGGTTATATATAGCAAAGAGTACCAAAAATTATGTAACTATATAAAACAAGGTACTAAAAATTATATATCTATTTTCATTTTATAATACTTTTGATAATGCCTACCAACATAATAGCTTCTAATATGGTCAGGACATTTACCGCTTTTAGACCGAGTAGGTTTACTACAATCAGTACAAGGATAATGCCTAATAGCATTTTTATGAAGCCAACACCCTTTAGGATTCATACATAACTAACCACATATCTCTCCAGTATATAAAAGAAAATCGCATATATATTCACCTAACTGCATTTTTATATATACCTAGTATATATTAAGTTACAAATTGAACAAAAATATTATATAAGTAACAGATAAGGAATTTCATACCAGCATCTATATATATTTAAATGTTAACTAGTACTCAATCTACTAACCAATCATCTTTAGAGGTCATAACCTCTCTTCCATTATGGCAAGATATCGAAAAATCAATAATTGATATATTGAGAGCAGGAAACTTTTATAACAAGAAAAAAATAAAGGATTCATGGATTATTATAAAAAGCAACTTGATGAATTGTATAAATCAGAAGATCAATAGCAATACATTATAATCAAAGCCAGATTGCTTCTTCCCAATGAAGAGATATATGATACAAAAATAAAGGTGTTCTCTAATTCTTATTATAAAAGTAAACCAAAAATCAAACAAGCTATTTTAAACTATCTCAAACTAATTCACAAAATCGCTAAAGAGTACTTTATAACAGAAGAGGAAAGAGAAGAGAAATTTCAAGCATGGCTTAACTCGTAAGCACCCACTGAGGAGATAATTTTGTATTAGGAGGGACAATTAAAAGCTCTTCTCTAAAAAAGACCGCTTTGGGCCATTTCTATTAATATTTTCAATCCAGTATAAAACTGGTTGATTTTTTTGTACTAGAGATTCATGAATATAATAAATCTGAGGAGACCAATTCATATTGGTAGCATGTCTTCTTCCACCTTCCAATTCACCAGGCTTAAGTAAATATAAAACAGGATCATTATATGTTAATCGAATCTCATTATAACCTATAGATCCATATCTTGGTTTAGAAGCTTTAGCATATACAAATTTCTTTTTAATAGCTTCATTAGGGGTTATACCAATAAGCTGAATTACAGAGTTATTAAGATTATTAATAATAATTGGGAGATTCTTAACCCAGGCTCTTGATCTTTTAGATAAAGGTAACAATAACTCTTGTGCATCTTGAATACGAAATAATTTTTAAGTTAAAGTTCGATTAAATCTTTCAACTATACTATACTATTTTTAGAACTAGCTTTTTGGATTTTAATACCATGTTTTTTCATAAATTTTTCACAGCTTCCTTTAAACTCTGAACCTATATCAGTTAATAATAATTTAGGCCATGTAAAAAGGCACTTTGAATTATTAAAAATTTTAACGAAAACTTTAGCAACTATAGCAGAAGTTAGTATATCTTCCAAAGAAGGCTCATCCATATTCAAAATATCCAAAGTAGTTCCAATTGGTTCTGCCTATTTATATCTTAATGCTATATCTATACAAGTAAGACAAAATATAAATCCTACTTTATCATATAGCATATAAAGAATATCAGCTTGTATAACTTCCATAGGAATAGTAATTTTATTAAAACTAGCACAAGGAATATACTTTGGCCAGGCTTTATGAATTAAGAATAATAACTGTCTTTCAAGCCAATTACACACTTCATTTATAGAAAAATTGTATTCAGCTTTTAAAGAAGCTTTATACAATTTTTTGCAGTTATTTGATAGCCATTAGGTTGATAATAAATTTTATACAAAGCAATAGATATATCTAGTTTATGAGCTTTTCCAGAATCTATTTGTATTATAGAAATAATCAACATTTTTTTTTACAAGCTCAAAAACAATATATAGTAATTACATAGTTTTCAAGAAAAAATGATAAACTTATTAGTTTCCTCCAAAGAAACGTTGCAAGAAGGAAGAGATAGTGAAAGAATCAAACAATTTAAAGGTGATTTATTAGCAATACAAGATCGAGTCTGCAAATTACAACAGGATTTTGTTACAAAAGAGAATTATATTAATTATCTTGAAAAAGAAATCTCGATTCGGGATAAGGAGCTAAACCCATTGAGATCAGAAATTTCTAATCTTATAAAATAGTTAGAAAATGTATTTAAAGAATCTAAAAAGCAAGAAAATTATATAGATTATTTAGAAAAGCAGTTAGAATTTTTCAAAATGAAATAGACAAGCTTAATGAAAAAATTCTTGGTTTGTATAAATCCGAAGGATCATTTTTTAGAAATAAAAATTCTAATGATACTATAGATAGATTTGAAGAATCATTGCTTTGCAATATAATGCAACAACTAGGAACACCCCAAATATTATCTCTTTCTGAAAATCAAGCTACAATCAGAAAAATAGAATTACACGAGAGGTTGATAGCATTAGAGAATATTTTCAAAGCCCAATTACAACAGCCGCAATAAATAATATTAAAGAGAATCTTAATATAATAATTGATACCAGTGATAGGTTTGAAAGATTAGTACTAGATATATATCCATGGGCAAATACTCGCGCAATTAATGCAGAAAATCAAGTAGCAAATTTGCAAACCCAGTTAACGAATTTACAAACCCAGTTAGCTACACTTCAAAATAATTATAATTCTCTCCAACAGGACTTAACTTATAAACAACAAAGACAATATAATACTGAGATAGACTTGAATTTAATGACTATAGCTTATACTAATGAAGCAAAAGAACACCGTCGCTGGTGGTTTTTATATCGTGATAAAAATAGACAGGTTAATAAATTAATTCAAGAAAAATTTGCATTGTATCTCTTAAATAGACGAACCCGACAGCAACTACAAAAATATAAAACAGATGGGGCAATTACTACACATCTCTTAAATCTTACAGAAAAATGATATACCAAATAGAAAAATAAATGCAGAACTCTAGAAAATGATCTATTACTTGCTGATATTCAACTGGACAACAAGTGGGGTAAGTGAAAAAATCTGGCACGAAATTTAGAACAATTAATTAATAATTTGGATCAGCAAATTTTTGCACTTCAGAATAATCAACTTATAAATAACCAATATAGAGAAATGGCAGGATACCCACCTCCAAATTTTTATGGCTATCCCAATGAGGATCCTGAAGAATTTATTGATTCTTTTTGCTTATATCTTGTGGCTGTAGGAATTAATGTATTAGCTGGGCATGCTCACAGAATTCGAGCACATGGTCTTTTTGAAACATGTCTCAAAGGTGATGCTAAAGATTGGTATAAAAGATCTCTTCGAAGAAAGAATTGGGAATTAAGAAATTTATTAGATAACACTGGACAGGCTACTTTAGCTTTGGCTCAAAGCCGAACAGCAGTACAACTTGGTGCAAATTTAAGACATAGTGCAATAGGCCAGGCTGGAAATATTGTTATTCCAACTCATACAGTATTTGATGAAAATTGGTCTTTTGCTAATGGGCGCCCAACAAATCGATTACCCAATGCGCCAAATGCCAATACAGGCAATAGTGTAGTTGTAGTTGGAATCATGCTTGGACAAACAATATACTGGTTCAAAACCAACTATTCTACAGTTACTGCAGAAAAACAGCAAATGCTCTTTGGGTCAACAGTTCAAAGCAATGATCCTGCAGGTCGATTTTATTCTAAATTACATAAACTTGCTAGGCTTGCTGGTATTGATGAACAACAAATTCGATTACAATTTATTCGAGGCATTTCTCCTGATAATCAATTAGAAATTCGATGTATTGGAATTAACAAACCTGCATATGAATTGCTTACAGAACTTGAAGAAATTGAAAGATATAAGGCAGAGCAATTATCTAGAGCATATTTTACTCCAAAACCTGCTATGGAGCAACAACAACAATTTTATTCTAATGCAGATATTGATAGACTTGTAGAAGAACGAATCATTTCTAGAGAAAAACAAAGTCTAAAGCCAAAACAAATATCTTAAGTTGATCCTAATACTGAAGCAGTTAAACAATTTATAGAGATCATAAAGCAAGCTAAAAAAACTTTAGCTAAGAAGCCCGGTCCTAGTAAAGAAAAAGCAGACAAAATTCATATAGATTGCTTTTTAAATGATTTTGCAAAAGTCAATTCTGATTATGATTCTAGTAGTTTTCATAATGATAATGATCCTATTGAAGATATTCGTAAACAATTAGAAGACCTTTATATCAATCAGACTAAAATTGCTAAAGCTATGAAAAAGAATTTTAGCAAGTTTGAAGACCTTCAAATCAATCAGACTAAAACAGATAAAACTAAAAAAAAAGAATTCTAGCAAGTCTAAATCTTCTTGTCACAAGACTAAATCAAAATCTAAGACCCAAAAAAAGAAATCATCAAGTCGATCAAAGCATGTTAATGCCCATATAATTTCAGATGAATCATCTTCAAAATCTAGTAGTAGTGAAAATGATAATACAACATCTAGCGAAAATGAACTTGAAACCAATATCTTGTCATATTCGCAAAGCAAATCAGAATTATCAGAATCATCTGAAAGTGAGTCTAGTAGTTTAGAAAGCAATTCAGAAGAATATGAAGTCAATGCTACAAAAAAAAAAATAAGTTTTTCTAATACCAAAAGCTCAAAGAAACACAAGAGTGCCAAACCAAAAAAATCTAGTAATATCTCTTCTGTTAAAAAGAGCAGTAAAGATACTAGATCACTTAAAATTCCAACAAATAATATTAGTCTAAATGCATTTTTTGATCAATGGTTGATTCATTTACTCATACACAACCTAAAGAAGCATCTATTAATAGATATAATATAATTAATACTGAATTCATTGCACTAAAAGATCCTGTTCTAAATCATTTTACTTCAAATTTCTCAGACAAGGAACGAGAAAAGTTCTGGTATGAGATTATTATGATATTCTCACATATCTTACAACCAATATCAGATCTAATTCGAATTGCTTCCCAGCAAGCAAATACATTACCCCAAAAGGCCCCAGAAGAGATGCAACCAAAAGCAGAAATTTCATGGCCAAATCCTATAGAAATTAATTTTATTTGTAAAATTATTCCTAATGATGTTGCAACTATTACTTGCCAAATTACTTCACTATCAGGAAAAAATATTCAAGTACCTGGTGCATTAATAGATAGTGGAGCAAACTGCTCTCTTAAATCAAAAGGTCTTGCAAAACTATTAGGAATAAATATTGACAAAAATAAAAAACCTTCTGTAAAATGGCGTAATAATTCTTTAGAATCTATTAGAGCTTGTTATAATGTACCAATTACTTTTAGCTATGGAGATAATAGTTGTACAATTACAGAAGACTTTTCAGTAATGGATGATAATAAATCTTGGATATTATTAGGCACTCCTTTGCTTGATTATGCTAGATGGGAGCCTATTGTCAAGCATGAATTCAAGTTAATACATAAAGGTAAAGTAATTACTATATCTCTTTTAGTATATAAGTCCCAGAGAAAGATATTTAAACCAGAAATCAACTTGACTTTTCACAAGCATGATTCAGTTCAAGTATCTACTGATTCTTCTAGTCAGTCTAGTAATAATGATATATTATTAGAGAAATAGCATGCTCCTGCAGGTTTTAGCTCAGATTTTAGTCTATCTAGTGAGAATGATTTATTGCAAAGCAAGTTGTTAGATGATGAATCAGAGATGAGTCAAAGACTCAAAGCTCAGCTTTCTCAAAATTTTATTTTTCCTTCGAATCATAACCCAGATCTAGGCTCTGCAATAAAAAAAAAATAATTAGTGGTCTTAAACCTTGTATTTCATGCAATAAATCACAAGTTCGAGATATTTCTATATGGGAAAAATATATGAATTACTTTTTCCAAGATATATTAGAATATGATTTACCATCTTTTTCTTCTAATGCATGAATAAAATTATATATAGTACCATCTCGAATATATTTTTTTAATGAAAGTTTGAATAATTTTGTACTCCAATTAGCCATATCTAACTTAATTTGATTGCATTCTATATCTTTCTGTTGCTTAATACTTTTTAAGGTTTCCTCAGTAGATTTAATAAGTTCTTGACGTAAATTATCTTTAGCTTCTTTGATTCTAGCTTTAACCTCTTCTTCAAAGTATAACCCTTTAGAGTCATCCCTTTGGGCCTGTAGAGCAATGACTCTTTGAGTCTTAATTAATTGGATATTAGTATTGCAAAGCAAATTGTTAGATGTCTCTTCTACTTCTATTACAGAGCAATTGTTTATTGTAGAGCAATCCAAAGGTGATTCTAATAGATCAGAGCTTTTTGAACCTTGAATAGGATTATATAAAAATTTCCTTTTTCTTTGGTATCTATCAACTTCATGTTTTAAAAATGCCTCTATAATAGGGCTAATACTACTGGCTTCACTTTCTAATAATGGATTTTTTTATCGAGTTGTAAGACGAATCTATCCAGCTTTTATTAAAGAAAGTGGTAGTTGAGTAAAAAGATTTGAATAACTTTCATGAAAAGCTATATAATATTATAAAATATATTTTTATGTAAAATTATAATTTTTCAAAAAATATCGATATTTATTTATTATAAAATTTTTCTAAAATTTCACAAAATATTATAACAGAACACTAATTCCATTTTGATAACAATTACCGACTTTAGACCCGAAGGGTCATTGCTTTACAATATATATTAATATTGTTTTTATAAGAGTGTGACCTTGAGTGGCCAACAAATATTAAACATTCATATGTATAACAATAAATCATACCTATAGGATAGACCCAAAGGGTCATTGCTTTGCAATACCAAATTTTAATTCAAGGTCATATACTATATTATACAAGATGCAATATGGAGCATAGTAGTCATATGACATTGTGACCTTGAGGTCACGTACTACATTATACAAGGCGCAGTAGTCACATGATATTGTGACCTGTGGGTCACATACTACTATTTCTAAATAATAATAATTAATATTTATATTTGAAAAAAATATTAACTATATAATTTATAACTCTGTAAAGCTTTGTATTCTATCTATCACTAGTTTAGCTTATATGGGTATTCTAGATATATGGGATACACATTCATTTTGATATTTCTTTGAGAGCTTAATGCTTGAAGCTCTTTTTTTTGGCTACTTCTGAAGTCATTTCATTTAATATAAAATTTTTATATGCTTGTATATGCCAATGATAATATGGCAAACTAGTTATTTTATCAGATAATATCCAATGCTTAGTATCTATAGGGCAAAGAGCCTTTTTTTCTGATTCGACCAAAGATAATATATGGTCTTTTGATCAAATATCTATATTTCTAGCATGGAATACTTCATTACCAAAGAGACAGTCTTGATATACCTGGGTCATAGGTGAATCATTCTCTGGATAAGTATTCTTAGCCATCTTATCCATACCTTTTTTACTAACTCCTTTATACTTAGACCTTGTAAACTTATCTGCCAAAACATAGTGATAAGACTTGGCTCAAATATAATAAGATTTTGTAATTACATTGTCTGAAGTTTCATCCTTAAATTTGCCAATAGTTGTATCACCATTAAAGTTAAAGAGATCAGGTTGTTCTTACATGTCTTTATAGATATCCTCAGTTTCAACTTGAAATATAAAAAAGTCTGTATCCATATATCCGAGCTGGGCTTTATTACCATATCTCTCTTTTACATGTCCATACCAAAAGCAGTACATGTTATGAAATGTTTAAATAAGAAAAAAGGCTTATAATAGTATCAGCTATATTGATGTTGAGTGACATGAAATTTATTTTTTAGTCGTCATTCAATTTAGCTATATAAATAAAAAATAGAAGATTCTAGCTATATAAAAAATTACACCAAGCTAAAGTATATAAAAATGATATAAAATATAGCAGGAATGACTTGAAAG